TCTTTTCTTTTCTTTTTTTTTTTTTTTGAAACGGAGTTTCACTCTGTTGCCCAGGCTGGAGTGCAATGTCACAATCGAGGCTCATTGCAACCTCTGCCTCCCGGGTTCAAGTGATTCTCCTGCCTCAGGCTCCCGAGTAGCTAGGACCACAGGCACGTGCTACCACGCCCAGCTAATTTTTGTATTTTTAGTAGAGATAGGGTTTCAACCATGTTGGCCAGGCTAGTCTCAAACTCCTGACCTCAGGTGATCCATCTGCCTTGGCCTCCCAAAGTGCTGGGATTACAGGCTTGAGCCAATGCACCCAGCCTCTTTTTTCTTTTTTTTAAGAGATGATGTTTTGCCTGGGTGCGGTGGCTCACTCCTGTAAATCCGGCACTTTGGGAGGCTGAGGCAAGTGGATCACTTGAGGTCAGGATTTTGAGACCAGCCTGGCCAACATGGTGAATCCAGCACTTTGGGAGGATGAAGCAAGTGGATCACCTGAGATCAGGATTTTGAGACCAGCCTGGCCAACATGGTGAAACCCCATCTTTACTAAAAATAAAAAATTAGCCAGGTATGGTGGCAGGCACCTGTAATCCCAGCTACTTGGGAGGCTGAGTCAGGAGAATCACTTGAACCTGGGAGGCAGAGGTAGCAGTGAGCCCAGATCGTGCCACTGTACTCAAGCCTGGGCTACAAGAGAGAAACTCAGTCTTTGGGGAAAAAAAAAAAAGAGAGAGATGGTGTTTCACTATATTGCCAAAGCTGGCCATGAACTCTGGGCTCAAGTGATGATCCCCTCAGCCTTGCAAGTAGCTTGGACTACAGGCGTGCACCACCATACCCAGCTGAGGAAGGATTTCTTAAACATTCCTGAAAGTATAAACGAGAGAGGAATAGTTAAATAATTGGTGTACAAAACAAGACACCATAAATCTAGTCAAAGGATGAGTTACATACCCCTGTCTGTGAGGGTTATCATGCATATAACTGGCAATGCACAATCATCCAGATGTAAACATGAAGCTGGCAGATCAATAAGACAATTTTTTTTAACTAACAAAAAAATAAGCAAAGATATGAATAGGAAAATCGTAGAAGAGTGTGACCAAATAAGCCTATGCAATGCTGCTCAGCCTCACCAGGAGTCAGGAACTAAACCATATCTGTGCAGAGCAGCAGAGAACAGCAGTCCTTGAGACTGCGAGCAGGGGGGTAAAGAGATGCTGCCTGAGGTCGGGCCCAGTGGCTCACGCCTGTAATCCCAGCACTTTGGGAGGCTGAGGCAGGTGGATCACTTGAGGTCAGGAGTTAAGACCAGCCTGGCCAACATGGAGAAACCCCATCTCTACTAAAAATACAAAATTAGCCAGGCGTGGTGGCACATGCCTATAATCCCAGCTACTCAGGAGGCCAAGGTAGGAGAATTGCTTGAACCTGGGAGGTGGAGGTTGTGGTGAGCCGAGATCACGCCATTGCACTCCAGCCTAGGCAACAAGAGCAAAACTCTGTCTCAAAAAAAAAAAAAAAAAAAAAAACATTAGAAGTCAGAACAGACCCAAACACATAGGGGAACTCAACAGATGCCAGAAGTGGCGTTTCAAATCAGTGGGTAAGTTATATTGACTATCCATATGGGAGCAAATTGCTACTGAATTATTTCATGGCGTATACAAAATGAATTACAGACTAAGAGTATAAAATAAAATCTCAAAATCATCAGAAGAGTATCTAGGAGACTATACTGACATCTGGATGAAGTTAAAGGATTTCTTTCTTTCTTTTCTTTTCTTTTTTTTTGAAACGAGTTTCACTCTCTGTTGCCTCCAGGCTGGAGTGCACGTCGCAATCGAGGCTCATTGCAACCTCTGCCTCCCGGGTTCAAGTGATTCTCCTGCCTCAGGCTCCCGAGTAGCTAGGACTACAGGCACGTGCTACCACGCCCAGCTAATTTTTGTATTTAGTAGAGATAGGACAACCATGCTGGCCAGGCTAGTCTCAAACTCCTGACCTCAGGTGATCCATCTGCCTTGGCCTCCCAAAGTGCTGGGATTACAGGCTTGAGCCAATGCACCCAGCCTCTTTTTTTCTTTTTTTTTTAAGATGATGTTTCTGCCTGGGTGCGGCTCACTCCTGTAAATCCGGCACTTTGGGAGGCTGAGGTGGATCACTTGAGGGCTGGATTTTGGAGTGACCAGCCCTGGCCAACATGGTGAATCCCGCACTTTGGGAGGATGAAGCAAGTGGATCACCTGAGACCAGGATTTGAGACCAGCCTGGCCAAAATGGTGTGAAACCTCATCTACTAAAAATAAAAATAGCTGCAGGCACTGTAATCCCAGCTACTGGGAGGCTGAGTCAGGAGAGTCACTTGAACCTGGGAGGCAGAGATAGCAGTGAGCCCAGATCGTGCCACTGCATACTCAAGCCTGGGCCAAGCAAGAGAGAAACTCAGTCTTTGGGGAAAAAAAAGAGAGAGATGGTGTTTCACTATATTGCCAAAGCTGGCCATGAACTCTTGGCTCAAGTGATGATCCCCTCAGCCTTGCAAGTAGCTTGACTACAGGCGTGCACCACCATACCCAGCTGAGGAAGGATTTCTAAACATTCCCATATATAAACAAGAGAGGAATAGTTAAATAATTGAAAACAAGACACCATAAATCTAGTCAAAGGATGAGTTACATAATTTCTGTCTGTGAGGGTTATCATGCATATAACTGGTAATAATAATCATCCAGATGTAAACATTAGTTGGCAGATCAATAAGACAATTTTTTTTAACTAACAAAAAAATAAGCAAAGATATGAATAGGAAATCGTGAGAAGAGTGTGACCAAATAAGCCTATGCAATGCTGCTCAGCCTCACCAGGAGTCAGAACTAAACCATATCTGTGCAGAGCAGCAGAGAACAGCAGTCCTTGAGACTGCGAGCAGGGGGTAAAGAGATGCTGCCTGAGGTCGGGCCCAGTGGCTCACGCCTGTAATCCCAGCACTTTGGGAGGCTGAGGCAGGTGGATCACTTGAGGCCAGGAGTTAAGACCAGCCTGGCCAACATGGAGAAACCCCATCTCTACTAAAATACAAAATTAGCCAGGCGTGGTGGCACATGCCTATAATCCCAGCTACTCAGGAGGCCAAGGTAGGAGAATTGCTTGAACCTGGGAGGTGGAGGTTGTGGTGAGCCGAGATCACGCCATTGCACTCCAGCCTAGGCAACAAGAGCAAAACTCTGTCTCAAAAAAAAAAAAAAAAAAAAAGAGAGAGAGAGAGATGCTGCCTGACAGTAAACCAGCAGCATCTAGCAATGGGGTCGAGGCTCACAGCCTGTGCCCCAGGGTCCCACTGGGCCAATGCCTGACTTACATGTGTGCCCAGACACTCACTCATGGTAGTGCTGGAGCAAGAAATTGGAGACAACTCAGATCCCGGGCAGGGGGACTGTATGCATGCAGGACGGTCCACCTCTAACACATGGCAAAAATGCTAACACCTAAATTGTGAATATGTAGTTGTTGCATTTTTGTGTGAACTTTCCTATCTTTATTTCAAAATAAAAGAATGGTTTAAAAACCTCATTGAATGCTTAAAGCACATTTTTAAAAAGAGTGACATTTTTAATCTGGAAAAGAAAAAAGTCAGAAGTTGAGAGGCGTTCACATGTGAAAGTGTGACTCAGTCTTTGTGGACCGTAAGAATAGGAATGAGTTTTCTTCAACTGTATCTCCAGTACCCAGCAGAGAGCCTGGCTCAAGCAGTCACTTCCCTCTGCAGCCTTCGACTGTTGTACTAGAACCAGGCCAGTGTCAGCAAACAACAGATTAACTGATTGAGAGATGAGGAAATGATCTGTAGCAATTACAGCTAAAAGGACGTGAAATGGCCCATCCCAGGAGGCAGCAGTATACCCACTGGCTCTAGATTTTCCCACCTCATACTGGAAACACAACTTCTTAATGAGAAACTGGTAAGGGGGATGTAGGCTGAGAATGAGGAAGTCGATTTAGTGGCTTCTGAGGGTTCAGATCTCTTGACAGTATGTGAATAAGATTACACGCTTCTGCATGAGCGGGTCCCATGACACGGAATACTGTGTTCTTGATTCCACCATAAGAGTAAATACTGGGCCGGACGCAGTGGCTCATGCTTGTAATCCCAGCACTTTGGGAAGCTGAGGCAGACGGATCATTTGAGATCAGGAATTTGAGACCAGCCTGACCAACATGGTGAAACCCCGTCTCTACTAAAAATACAAAAATTAGCTGGGTATGGTGGTGGATGCCTGTAATCCCAGCTACTCAGGAGGCTGAGGCAGGAGAATTGCTTGAACCCAGGAGGCAGAGGTTGCAGTGAGCCAAGATTGCACCATTGCACTCCAGCCTAGGCAATAGAGCCAGGCTCCCTCTCAAAAAAAAGAAAAGAAGGCTGGGCGCGGTGGCTCACACCTGTAATCCCAGCACTTTGGGAGGCTGAAGCGGGCAGATCACAATTTCGGGAGATCAATGCCATCCTGGCTAACACGGTGAAACCCCGTCTCTACTAAAAATACAAAAAAAAAATTGGCCGAGGGCGGTGGCAGCCGCCTGTAGTCCCAGCTACTCGGGAGGCTGAGGCAGGAGAATGACGTGAACCCAGGAGGTGGAGCTTGTAGTGAGCCAATGCTGGGCGACAGAGTGAGACCCTGTCTCAAAAAAAAAAAAAGAAAAAGAGTAAATACTTTATCTTTCAAGGAGAGTTTTTACATAAACATGATTCTTTTATGCTTCCCCAACATACCGCATACCTACCCCTACCACAACATCTATCACATAGAATTGTAATTCTTTATTTGAAAGTCTCTATTAGATATTAGAGATTTTCATGTCCCCCATATGCATAACACTGTGGGTCAAAAATATTGTTGGAATGGAATGGATGATGAGGGTGAGTAAATGACATGAGAAGAAATGGAACAAATGGATGGATGGATGGAGATGGATGGATAGAGATGGATGGATGGATGGATGGAGATGGATGGATGGATGGATGGATGGATGAATGAATAAATGGAATAGGTGGGTGGACTGATGAATGGATGGGGATGGATGGATGGGGATGGATAAATGAATGGATGGATGAATAGAGATGGATGGATAGATAGATGGGGATGGACAGATGGATGAATGGATGGATGGGGATGGATGGATGGATGGATGGTAAGGATGGGATGCATAAGTTGAAAATGTATACAGTACTCTTTACTTTTAAGAAACATTTGATCAAATATGCAAGAATCTCATTGGAATATCCTGAATTTAAAATATTTCATAATTCTTCCAAGTCTAGTTATACTATAAAATTCCCAAATCCTATCCTAACTTACTTTGAGACCTTTGTCTGTCTAATATGTTTGTTAAGCTGCTAAGTGATTCACTCTCAATTAATTCCTTGATCTCCATCATGCTTGCTCCTGCCAAAGAAATGGTTGGTGTTCTTGAAACACTCCATCTAGAAAATTCACAAAGAGAAAAATGAATGAAGGTGAAAAAAATCAGGGGCCAGATCTGATAATCTATTTACTGATGGACCAAAGGAGAGCAGATTTTTTAAAAACCTTATAGTGCATTCCTCTAACCCAGTGCTTTTTCAGTTTTCAATGTGCCTGTGAGTTACCTAGGGATTTTATCAAATAAAATGAAGCCTCTGGTTCAGTAAACCAGGGGCAGGCCTGAAATTCTCCATTTCTACCAAATTCCCAGTAATGCTGACACACTTGGTCTGCATTCAAGGTACTAACTAACTCAAAAATATAATGGAAAATAATATATTTTTATAAAAATAACCCAAACTATAAAACATCTAAGAATTCACTTATAGGAATTATCCACAACATTTATAGGCAGAACAAATGAACTCCATTAAAGGACATAAGGGAGGGTATGAATTGAATGAAAGGATATACCATGATCATGGATGAGATACCTTAACAATGTAAAAATGTCAATTCTTCCCCAAATAATCTATATATTCCATACAAAAACAATTTTTAAAAAAATCAAAATTGTTTAAAGACATGTTCTCTTGGTTCTTCTCATTCCATTTCCCAAAACCACCAGCTGGGCTTCCATTCTCTCCCTGGTCCCCATAGCATCCAAGGAGTCTCCTTCTCCAGACCCTTAGGCTACCAGAGGCCCTAAAAGCCACTGACCTCATGCAGGATGACTGGAGACTCAGGAGTCTGAAGCTGTGGGTTGGAATCCCGGCTTAACCAGGAATTCTGGTTTATCACTTTGTGTAAATCATTTAATTACTCAGTCACTTTGTGTAGTTATTATGAGGATCAAATGAGATAAAATAATGCATGCAGAAAGTTTGATGTGCAACATATACTCATAAACACAAGCTGCCCTTTCCCTGTTCGCTTAATTTAGCATGGATTGCATGAGCTCCAATTTAACTGGATTTACTAAAAAACCTACCATAGTAGGGCTAGTACACTCCCACCACCCAAAATATCATTCAATCCTTACTGAACCGTGGAAGAATCGTCCGTTTTGGGGGACTTCTCATATTCCTCACTGTTCTTGGAAGAATTTTCGGGCTCTGCTTGGTGAGAACCTGAAAACAGTAGCAAATATTTCTAAGCTTTTTGTTACATGCTAGTTCACTAAGAAATGAGGGCCCCGACCCATTTCTGTAATGTCAGTCTCTACGCAGAAGGCCTGGGATGTGGGACGCACTCAGTCAAAAAGTTTGTTGTTAATAAGTGAGTAAACGAATAAACACAGACTAATATTTGATTATTTGGATAAATGGAGTCAAGAGGAGACCTCCAGTTCCTTACATAACAGCCCACAGAGAAAATGAAGACAGTCTATTATCTATTAAATGGTCCATTTCAGTCCTGTTTACATTAGAGAATAATGAAAACAGTCCCAAGTTCCCAACCATAGGGAATGGTTAGCAAATTACAGTCTGCCGAGAAGATGAAATACTACATAGTCACCACACTACAATGTTACATAGATTGCTCCTTGTGATGAAATTGTTTTCCCTGTTTGTTTTATATTTTTATCTATTCACTGAATTTTCTAAAAACCATATACACAACTTCCACAGTCAGAGAAGTTTTTGGGACCGGGTGCAGTTGCTCACACCTACAATCTCAGCATTTTGGGGGCTGAGGTAGGTGGATCACTTGAGGTCAGGAGTTCAAGACCAGCCTGGCCAACATGGTGAGGCTGGTCTCTACTAAATGGTCTCTACTAAAAATACAAAAATTAGCTGGGTGTGGTGGCGGGCGCCTGTAATCCCAGCTACTCGGGAGGCTGAGGCAGGAGAATCACTTGAACCCAGGAGGCAGAGGTTGCAGTGAGCCAAGATTGTGCCATTGCACTCCAGCCTGGGGGACAAGAGCAGAACTCAGAATCAGCAACGAAAAGTAAGCCATGCAGCAAGAGCAGTACAGCTGTGTGGCAGGATGAGCCCCACCCGCCTCCACTGCCAACACACGGGAGGGACGCCCATGCAGATGCACCACCCCAGCACACCACACGACCACTTTCCCTGCCATTGCCTTGCACTCAGCTTATCCACTCAGGCCTTCTCCACTCACCTTGCAAAGACTTTGGGTGTTTTTCTACTTTTTCTTGTTTTCCTGGTGGATATTCCTGATTCGACTCTTCTTTGACAATGTTGGCATTCTCAATGCCCTGTTCAGAGAATTTTCTCTGATTTAAAACCAAATGTCTCACTTCTAGAATGCAGGAGAAGAAAGGATCATTGACTCAATCAATCCAAAATATTTATTGAATAACTACTATGGACATTTCTTAGAGACACTGGGGGTTTGGTTTCAGACCACACTAAAATAAGTATCACAATAAAGTGAGTCACACATTATCTTCCCAGTGCATATAAATTATGTTTATACCATACCGCAGTCTATTCAGTGTGCAACAGCATTACATCTAAAAAAAAAAGAAAAAGTACATACCTTAGTTTAAAAAATACCTTATTGGCCGGGCGCAGTGGCTCAAACCTGTAATCCCAGCACTTTGGGAGGCCGAGACGGGCGGATCACGAGGTAAGGAGATCGAGATCATCCTGGCTAAAACGGTGAAACCCTGTCTCTACTAAAAAAAATACAAAACACTAGCCGGGCGAGGTGGCGGGCGCCTGTAGTCCCAGCTACTCAGGAGGCTGAGGCAGGAGAATGGCGTGAACCCGGGAGGCGGAGCTTGCAGTGAGCTGAGATCCGGCCACTGTACTCCAGCCTGGGCGATAGAGCGAGACTCCGTCTCAAAAAAAAAAAAAAAAAAAATACCTTATTGAGCCAGGTACAGTGGCTCATGCCTGTAATCTCAGTACTTTGAGAGGATGAATTGGGAGAACTGCTTGAGCCCAAGAGTTTGAAGCTGCAGGGAGCTGTGACTGCACCACTGCAGTTCAGCCTGGGTAACACAGAGAGATTCTGTCTCTTAAGGAAAACAAGAGAAAAGGAAAGACAGTAGGGGAGGAAGAAAGGGAGGGAGGGAAGGGAGAAAGGAAGAAAAAGAGAGAGAAAAAATACTTTATTGCTAAAATATGCTACAGGCTGGGCACAATGGCTCATGCCTGTAATCCCAGCACTGTGAGACACTGAGATAAGAGGATCACTTGAGGCCAGGAGTTCAAGACAAGCCGGGGCAACATGGTGAAACCTTGTTTCTACAAAAAAGAAAAATAGCTGGGCATGGTGGCATACACCTGTAATTCCAGCTATTCAGGAGGCTGAGGTGGGAGGGCTGCTTGATTCTAGGAGGTCAAGGATGCAGTGAGCCATGATCACACCACTACACTGCTGCCTGGGGGACAGAGCAAGACCCTATCTCACACACACACACACAAAAGCTAACACTCATCTGAGCCTGCGGATAATCATCTTTCTGCTGTGGGGGTCTTGCCTCGATGCTGACGGCTGCTCAGTGATCAGAGTGGTGGGTGCCGAGGGCCGGGTTCACCTCACCATGAAGTTGGCTGCATTGATCGACTCTTCCTTTCATGAAAGGTTTCTCTGTAGCATATGAAGCTGTTTCATAGCATTTTTCCCACAGTAGAACTGCTTTCAAAATTGGAGTCAATCCTTTCAAACCCTGCCACTTCTTTATCAACTAAATGTGTGTACTATTCTAAATTCTCTGTTGTCATTTCAACAATGTTCACAGCCTCTTCACGAGGAGTAGATTCCATCTCATCTCAAGAAATCAATTTCTTTACTCATCCGTAAGAAGCAACTCCTTATCTGTTCAAATTTGATCATGAGACTGCAGCAATTCAGTCACATCCTCAGGCTCCACTTCTAATTCTAGTTCTCTTGCTATTTCCACAACATCTGCAGTGACTTGCTCCACTGAAGCCTTGAACCCTTCAGAGTCATTCATGAGGGCTGGAATCAACTTCTTCCAAACTCCTGTTAATGTTGATGTTTTGACCTCCTCCCATGAATCACAGATGTTTTAAAGACATCTAGAATAGTGAATCCTTTCCGGAAGGTTTTTCTTTTCCTTCCTTTTATTTTTATTTATTTATTTATTTACTTTTGAGATGGAGTCTTGCTCTGTTGCCCAGGCTGGAGCACAGTGGAGCAATCTCTGCTCACTGCAAGCTCCGCCTCCCGGGTTCACGCCATTCTCCTGCCTCAGCCTCCCAAGTAGCTGGGACTACACGTGCGCACCACCACGCCCAGCTATTTTTCTGTAGTTTTAGTAGAGATGGGGTTTCACCGTGTTAGTCAGGATGGTCTCGATCTCCTGACCTCGTGATCCACCCGCCTCGGCCTCCCAAAGTGCTGGGATTACAGGCATGAGCCACCGCGCCTGGCCTTGTTTTTTTTTTTTTTTTTTTTTTTTTGAGACGGAGTCTCGCTCTGTCACCCAGGCTGGAGTGCAATGGCACGATTTCGGCTCACTGCAACCTCCACCTCCCAGGTTCAAGCAATTCTCTTGCCTCAGCCTCCCAAGTAGCTGGGATTAGAGGCGCCCGCCACCATATCCAGCTATTTTTCATATTTTTAGTAGAGACAGGATTTTGCTCTGGATTAGGCTTCAGTTAATATTGTGGCTGGTTTGATCTTCTATCCAGACCATGAAAACTTCCTCTGTATCAGCTATAAGGCTGTTTCACTTTCTTATCATTTCTGCGTTCACTGAGTAGCACATTTAACTTTCTTCTAGAACTTCTCCCTTACATTCTCAACTTGGCTGTTTGGCACAAGAGGCCTAGCTTTCAGCCTATCTAGGCTCTCGATGCGGCTTCCTCATTAAGCTTAATCATTTCTAGCTTTTGACTTAAAGGGAGAGATGTGCAAGGCTTCCTTTCACTTGAACACTTTAGAGGCCATTGTAGGGTTATTAATTGGCCTAATTGCGGTATTGTTGCCTCTCAGGGAACAGGGAAGCCTGAGGAGAGGGAGAGACAGGAGAATGGCTGGTCACTGGAACCCTGTGTTCTGGAGTCAGAACACACACAGCATTTATCAGTTAAGTTCACCGTTTCACACACATGTAGTTTGTGGCACCTCCAAACATTTACAAAAGTGACATCAAAGATCATTGATCACAGATCACCAAAGCAGATATAAATAAGTGTGAAAAATCCAAGAATTGGGGCTGGGTGTGGTGGCTCTAGCCTGTAATCCCAGCACTTTGGGAGGCCAAGGTGGGGCGGATAGCGAGGTCAGGATATCGAGATCATCCTGGCTAACAAGGTGAAACTCCATCTCTACTAAAAATACAAAAAATTAGCCAGGTGCAGTGGCGGGCGCCTGTAGTCCCAGCTACTCGGGAGGCTGAGGCAGGAGAATGGTGTGAACCTGGGAGGCGGAGCTTGCAGTGAGCTGAGATTGTACCACTGCACTCCAGCCTGGGCGATAGAGCGAGACTCCGTCTTAAAAAGAAAAGAAACATCCGAGAATTGCCAAAATGTGACAGAGACACAAAGTGAGCACCCGCAGTTGAAAAAACGGCACCAATAAACTTGTTCGACACAGGATTGCCACAAACCTCCAAATTGGAAAATGCATGATCTTTGTGAAGCCCAGTAAGGCAAAGCACAATCAATCAAGGTATGCCTATAAGTGACAGTCACCTTCCTCTGAAGAAGATGAAGCAATGGATAAGGCCCCTGTTCTCCTGGAGCTGCTGCCTAGGAAGCTGCCTCCAAATTCCAGGAAACCCAAAACAATAAGCACACACGTCTGGGACAGGCACACATGTTGAGGTTCTCAGACCTCAGCAGGCCAGCAACCTCCTCCAAATGCGAGCATTGAGCCTGTGACATGCGCTGCTACGCTGGCTCCTAGCATTCCACTTTAAGGAGGGCAGTAACATTCCCCATCTCACAGATGAAGATCTGACACTGAAGTAACTTGCCCGTGGTCAGAGAGGTGGTCCTTAACAAAGCCAGGACTGCACCCAGAGTGCCTTGTCCCCAGCCAGGGTGTCAGCTCCTCAACGCCCTTCATTTCTATCCCTAGAGGCCTCAGATGCAAATGGCAGCCACCAAGAATGGGGAGGATAATGAATAAATGGAGTAAGTGAATTGACAAATGGAGATGAAAGATGCTACAAGAAAGAAATGGAAAAAAGGAGGTGAAATTGGATTCACTGCTGAAAAATAGACAACAGTTTTTGGAGAAACAGATGAGGCTGACAGCCATGGAAGAATGCCCAGCTGGTTTACCACGAGGCCTTACCATGAGAGAGAGCCGCATGTCTGCAGGGACCAGGAGGTGGGCTGTGGTATGAAGGGGCAGTGGCAGTGAGAAGGAGCCTTGGAAACAGATTGTAAAATGCCTTCAAGGCCAAACCACTTGGTTCTCTAAAGGCCCTGGGGCAGCCATGAACAGCTGCAAAGCAAGGCAGCACCAGGACCGAACGGGAGACAGAGAAAGGCCATGCCACAGCGGCAGGAGAGAGAAGGGGGAACAATCCTGGGTGCAGAGAAAGCCAGAGGGCAGGAGGGAGAAGACAGCTGGGCAGAGAGCTCCCAAGAACAACAGGCGGGGGATACCCACTAGGCACCGGGTGGGGGTGCCCAGAATTGAGAGCATAGGAGTAATTAAATGTGACTGGGGGGCTTTGAAAAGAATGCTGTCTTTGTCCAGTCCTGAGAAATCTAGCAGATGAGCAGATTGAAGGGAAAAGAAATGCTGAGTGTGATGGTGAATACTGAGTGTCAACTTGATTGGATTGAAGGAATGCAAAGTATTGATCCTGCATGTATCTGTGAGGGTGTTGCCAAAGGAGATTAACATTTGAGTCAGTGGACTGGGAGAGGCAGACCCACCCTCAATCTGGGTGGGCACCATCTAATCAGCTGCCAGCGCGGCTAGAAGAAAGCAGGCAGAAGAACATGGAAGGAGCTGACTTCCTGAGTCTTCTGGCCTTCATCTTTCTCCTGTGCTGGAGGCTTCCTGCCCTCAAACATCAGCCTCCAAGTTCTTCAGCTTTTAGACTCTTGGACCTACACCAGTGGTTTGCCAGGGGGCTCTCGGGCCTTCGGCCACAGACTGAAGGCTGCACTGTCGGCCTCCCTACTTTTGAGGTTTTGGGACTCAGACTGGCTTCCTTGCTCCTCAGCTTGCAGACGGCCTATTGTGGGACTTCACCTTGTGATCATGTGAGTCAATACTCCTTAATAAACTCCCTTTCATACATACATCTATCCTATTAGTCCTTCCCTCTAGAGAACCCTGACTAGGACACTAAGGCAGGTTGGGATGTGTCCTTCAAGACCAGCAGGCTGAATACTAACAAGTTCTGGAATGTGACCTACTAGGCATCCAATAAACATCCTATCCCCTTCATAATATGAGACAGAACTCTTATAGTATTCCTGCGCTTCCAAGAAATAAGAGTTTCTGTAAGAAATCTTTTTAAGTGAGAAAAAGCAGGACTTAAGACAACATGTACACTAGATTCACAGGAAAAATGTTAACAATGGCTATCTCTGGACAGGAATCACGTGGTTTTAACTTTTTCTCTTTTTTGCTAGGCGATTTCTAAATTGTTTTACAAAGTGAATTCGCATTGTTTTTTTAATGGGGAAAAACTTATTTAAATAAGAAGCAGTGATGCTAAGCTTGGGACAGGGTTCAGGAAGGAGCAGGTGCTGTCATTGCAATGTTTCACAGTGCTAGGCATAGTGGCTCACACTTGTGATCCCAGCACTTTAGGAGGCCAAGGCAGGAGGATTACTTAAGACCAGGAGTAAGAGACCAGCCTGGGTAACATAGTAAGACCCAATCTCTAAGAAAGATAAAATTTTAAAAGTAGCCAGGTGTGGTGGCACATACTCGTGGTCCCAGCTACTCAGAAGACTGAGGCAGGAGGAATCACTTGAGCCCAGGAGCTCAAAGCTGCAGTAAGCTATGATCACATCACTGCACTCCAACCTGGGCAACAGAGTGAGACCCTGTCTCAATCAATCAATAAGAATACTCATAGCAGGAGGCCTGTGGCCTCTCCCTGGAGGCCATAGAACACCCTTTCTCCTTCCTTTTCCAGCCACCGAATTCCCTTTACCCATCCAAACTTTGCTACTACGGCCCTTCCTCCAGGAATCCTTCCTGATACTCCCACCTCAGCACCCTACTCCAATGAGAGCCCACTGCAGGGCAGATACTAACCAGGAAGTCTGGCTCAACAGCTCCAAATCAGGCCTGGAATCTGCATGTAAGCATCTGATGCAGGTGGTCCACAGCCCACACTTTGAGGACATGGTTCTTTCCTCTAGTCCAGGTAAGAAAAATTACCTTGAATCCCATTTTCTCACACTGGAAACCTACAACTTGTAGTGTAGGTATATGCATTAGTGTTTCTCAGCCAGGGGCGATTTTAATCCCCAGGGGACATCTGGCAATGTCTGAAGAAATCTGATTGTCACAACTGGCAGGCTACTACTGGCAGCTAGTGGGTAGAGGCCAGAAATGCTGCAAAACACCAAACAATCCACAGAACAGCCCCCACAGTGAGGAGTTATCTGGCCCAAAATGTCAATAGTGTCAAGAGTAAGGAACTCTGGACATAAATGAAAGATTTAAAGTGGGAAGTTCCAAGCCTCCAAGGTCAGAAAGGCTCCTTGAGAAGGCGGGCTGGAAAATCAGAGAAAAGCAAGGCTTTCTGGCCACACAAAATTGAGGATAATTATACTTGTCTGGAAGGTGCTGACAATGATAATAGTACCATACATCATTGATTCATGTGCACCTGTAATTCTAGCTTTTTTTTTTTTTTTTTTTTTTTGAGATAAGGTCTTGCTCTGTCACTTAGGCTGGTATGCAGTCATACAAACACAGCTTACTAAAGCCTCAACCTCCCAGGCTCAAGCAATCCTCCCACTTCAGCCTTTCAAGAAGCTAGAATTACAGGTGCACATCACCATGCTGGGCTGATTTTTAGATTTTTTGTAGAGACAGGGTCTTGCCACGTTACCCAGGCTGGTCTTAAACTCCTGCCTCAGCCTCCCAAAGTGCTGGGATTACAGGCACAAGCCACTGTACCTGCCTTTTTAAATTTTTAACATCTCTAAGCATCAGGATGCATCTTACAATTAATGCCATGTCATAGTTTAATTGGTAGCATTTAATTACAGTTCTTAAATTTTCTATAGACAATGCATACCCTCCTTATTGCCTGCACCCAGGTGGACCACTCCTGTCAACCTGCCTCCAATATTCCAGTGAAGCAGGTACTAGTTATTTTTCCTTTTTTACAGATGAGAAACGTATGTTCAGGAACATACCCAGGTCACCAGCAAGTACAAGTTGGAGACAGGACTGAATTCCAGCATCTGGCGTCAAAGCCTGGATCCTTCCATCCCTCCTGGCTCTCTCCTTCAAGATGCGTTCAAAAGACTTTCTGACATTGGCTGGTCACAGTGGCTCACACCTGTGATCCCAGTACTTCAGGAGGCCAAGGTGGGTGGATCACCTGCGGTCAGGAGTTCGAGACCAGCCTGGCCAACATGGTGAAACCCCATCTCTACTAAAAATACAAAAATTAGCCGGGCGTGGTGGCACGTGTCTACAGTCCCAGCTGCTCGGAGGCTGAGGCAGAAGAATCACTTGAACTGGGGAGGCAGAGGTTGTGTAGTGAGCCGAGATGGCACTACTGCACTCCAGCCTGGGCGACAGAGTGAAACTCCATCTCGGAAAAAAAAAAAAAAAAAGACTTTCTGATATTGATAAAATATTTACACAAATGAGTCTGGAAGAGTCTACATGAGAATCTTAAGACAATTGGCTTGGGGTGGTGGGATTTTTAAGTTTTCTCTTTTGTTTCTTGGTATCCTCTAAGGTTTTTTTTGTTTTGTTTTGGTTTGGTTTTTTTTTTTCAGTGAACATACAATACTAGTCCAGACCGGTGGTGGGTGCCCGCGTCAGAGCTGCCCTGGAATGAAAGGGCCCAAAAGGTGGAGTTGCAAGAACACTGCCCACCACACCATCACTCCCCTAAGTGGCGCTTCCTGTCACCACAGCACGGCCTGGTGGGATGCCCCCACGGATGCAGAAACCCGTGTGTGCACATGCCAATTAGATGAAGGAAACCAGGAGACACTGGCTTTTATGCTGTTACTACTGAGTAAGCCCCAGGCTTCCAGAACCATTTCAAATAAAACCAGAGCACCTGACTTATGAAAAGCTCCCACGTCGTCTGTGAAGCCGGCAGTCTTTAATCGGTAATATCTGACTTTTCTTGACATCTTGTCTTTAGAGTTCCAGAGCCTCAAGGTGATTTTGTGGAAATTTATTTTCTTTAATAATTCCTTTGTCACATTGATATTAAAAGTCTGCTCCCACGACACCCAGGCTTTGTCACCTTCATGCCACGGCTTCACAGTCTGTGTAAAACAACATTCAGAGATGTCAACTGGGGAAAGATGTGTGAAGGCCATGGCGAACAGAGCAAACCCCAGCCCCAGCCTGGCCCTCAGCAGCAGCGCTGCCTGACTTCAGTGCCTGGTCACTCTTCAGGCTCTGAGTTCAGGGAAAATGGGGTGGTGTGTACTGGGCCCCATCAGACTTTTGCGTTCCTCAGGAAGAATAAAATCAAAGTAATTATCTGCAAATAGCATCCTCCTCGACTGCTTCTAAGCAATGACCCAGGGTCAAACCACTGGCAGGAGTGTGTGTGTGCAGGTAGTGTGTACACAAAAACTTTTGAAACATTCCGGAAATTACTAGGTAAAATATCTAAATAAAAAATAGGCCAGGTGGGGTGGCTCACACCTGTAATCCCAGCACTTAGGGAGGCCAACGCGGGAGGATGACTTGAGGTCAGGAGTTCAAAGACAGCCTGGCCAACATAGTGAAATCCCATCTCTACTAAAAACACAAAAACTAGCTGGGTGTGGTGGCTCACACCTGTAATTCCAGCTACTCAGGTGGCTGAGGCATAAGAATCACTTGAACCGGGAGGCGGAGATGATCGCACTACTATACTCCAGCTTGGGCAACAGAACAAGACTCCGACTCAAAAAAAAAAAAAAAAAAAGTCAGTAATTGGAATGATCAGGTCAGTGCAGATTCCTACTCAGGAGGTGGGGCCTGGGATCCTCCAATTCTAGCAAACTGGAGGTAAAGCTGATGTTGCACATCCATGGAGCGGCACACTTTTCGTGATAAGCATTAGACCATATGTAAGGTCACATGCACTCACACACGCACCTTTACTCCTGACTCCAGGAACACTTTGGCCACCATTGGAAATAGCAATATGTCAACTTTTTTAGGTTCTCCATCGTCCGGCAGAAGGAAATACTCGATGTGGTAAAAACGACGTAACTTTGAAATACAACTGTCTGTTTTAGGGTGCTTCTTATATTTTTCAATCAAACTTGCATATTTTCCCTTATGACCTTGAAGATACAGATTGAAAAAGTCTCGTTTTAACCTCATGTGGAAAAGCAGATCCATCTCCCCAGTTCCATGGAGCTTGATGTTGTGAGAGGCTGCGCACTCGACATTGCCTGCCCAATTTGGGAAAGGAGGTACAGGTCCAGTGCTCCTAGCCAGCAAAGTAGCAGGACCTGGACTGCGCACCTGAGTGCAAAATTGAAGTGCGTGGTTTTCAGAGTGAGTGTCTCTGTTGGAGAGTGAGTGTTGGTTAGTAGGCCTAGGGTTAAAAAAGTGATAGAGTTAAAGTGAAATCACATGGCCAGGCCAGATGTTTTTGGGAGAGACGCCCTACTTGCCTCACCCTAGTCCCTCCTGGCCCTAAGAAGCAGGTAAAAAATAATAATAATAATCACAGTACAATGTGATTTGTGCAATAACAGCAGCAGGAACAAGGTTGTGAAGAACAAAGGTGGAGGGGCAAACTCTGCATGGGGAGGGTGGGGTGGGCCTCCCAGGGGGGCCTTAGCAGAGTCTTAGAGGAGCAAAGCTAGCAGATATTCCAGACACAGAGAAAACAGCTTCACAAAAACGTCATAGGTGAAGTTACCCAATGTGGGGTGGACAGGGTGACAGGATGTGGAAGGTACAGATGGGCTTCTGCCAGAGTCCAGAGCCCAAGGAGCCCCCTGACCCCGCCCCTGGTTGCTTACACTCCAGCTTAAACTCCACACTCTAGGTCGGGGCTTTTCACATGATAAGAAGCTCCATAACATTTAATCCAAATATAATTATAAAAAAACGTGACCCTCTTTAAAGCTGTAGCTTTTAAAGTCTAAATTTTTAACCCCAGGAGGCTGCTGCAGCATTAATTTTCCTGCTACCAAAATGGTTAGCATTTGTGCAGAGACTGGAGTCAAGCTTCTCCTGCCAGGCTCTGGTAGCATTAGACCTTTTCTGATTCAATCTCAGGTGGGCCAGCAAGTGGACAAACAGAGCTTCTCATTTTCTGTAGACAGAAAGGCAAGTTATTTAGCCATTTTAAAGGAGAAGTTGACAGTATCTGTCAAAAACTGTAAATGTACACCTTCAATCCAGCAAATTTACTTCTTGGAATACAGACAACAGAAGTGCCCACATATATGAACAAAAATGTATGTAAAGAATGTCTATCGCAGAATTGTAACAGAAAAACATTTGAAACAACTCAAATATCCACCAATAAGGGGTAGGATAAATTAGAGACGTATAGAGATGTTCAGAAACCAGCTGCCTTCATTCATTCACTCATTCGTTCACTCTTCAAGGAGTTTCTACCCTGAACGTCAGCACCTACTATAAGCCTGGCCCTTGCCCGTAGGATGAGGGAGAAGGGTTGATGGCTCCTCCCTCCCTCCCTCCCCCTCCATCAGCTCCCACCTCCCACTCTTTAATAAAAGCAAATGAAGCTGTGGGCTCTGCAAACTCAGACCTCCCCACAATCTCTCTCATTAGACTCTCCTGCCTCAGACTCCCGGAAAATGTATTTTAAACAAGGTATTAGGTGATGCACAAACGCTTATGAGAATCCATGCCTTAACCTCTCCTTGGTTTCTTCTCCTCTGTAAAAAGTAGACCGAACATCATCTGCTTCAGCGTTATTGAGAGGATTAAGCATGTGAAGCTGATGCAGCCACAGTTGGGCCTCTCCTAAAATTGCTGTTTCTTTTCAACCTCTGTTCCTGGCTGGCACTGGTCAGCCCGCTTTGGGGTGGGGCAGGTGGAGAGACGATGTGGGGCATACGCACCCTAAATTCCTGCAGAAAGTCATACACCTCCTTTTTTCAGAGGGAGTTAGAGTTCTGCTCTAGCACCTACCCGTATTCACAGGGAAGGCCAGTGAGATGGTGAATGTGCAGGGGACTACGTGGGGCACGTCGGAGCTGAAGGTGCTGGCAGGCTCAGATGAGGACTCAGTGCTGCTGCACTGGCGGTCAGAGTCAGACTCCCGGGCCCTGGCCTTGGCCTTGAGGTGTTCCTCCACGTCACACTCACTCGTGGACTGGTAAAAGCTGGTGATGGAGGAGATGGGCTCTATGCTTGCGGGGTCCTCTTCCCACTCCCAGGCATTCAGCGACATGCTGCAGAGCGCGCCGCTGGCCGCCGGCGCTCCTGGCAGGGAGAAAGTGAGGCTGTCCCCGCCTGTATTCCAGGGCTGCTCCAGGAAGTAAGTCCGGCCTCCTTCAGGAGCACCCACCCGTCTCTTCCCCGCTTCCCCAGCTTGCTCCTGGGTGAACTCCGGGGCTCCTTCACTGCCTGCCACACAGTCGGTACTCAACTGACTTAAGAGAATGAATGGATGAAGGAACCACAGAGAAGAGTGGCTGGCAGTAAGCACGACGACGAGCAACCCCGTTTCCTTCACCTAACCCAGGAGTCAGTCGCCGGGCTTCTGGAATGCCTGCCCCAGGTGAGCAGCTCCCGGGAGCCACCAGGCGGGAGAGGGGGCGTCTACTCAGGCAGGCCTGCTGCGACTAAGCACAAGATGCGTTTGCTATTTGGGGAGAGGCAAACCAGGCCGCGGGCAGCACGTGCAGGAGCCTGGCGAGGTCGGGGAGGGCAAGCCCTGCCCCCTAGACAGAACATGAACGTGCACTGGGTGCTGGGGCATCAGCTCAGGGCCCACGGAGGCGGAACGCCGGGCAAACACCGAGAAGGGAACACGCGTCGAGGAGAGGAGGGAAGGGTCCCGGGCTGCTGCGGCCGAGTTGGGGGCAGGGGTCGGGGTTCCCCTCCAGGTGCTGGCGGTACCTGCGAGCGGATGCGCTGGGTGGCAGCGGGGACTTGGACGGCGGCGGCAACTCCCGCACCAGATCCACAGCCACCTCGGCGAAGAGACTCCAAGACTGAAAGGAGCGTCCGCGGGTGCAGGGAGGGCCGGAGGCCCAGCCACTCAGCTCCGTTTGGCGGTTGCTAGGAGATGCGAGGGCGTGCGGCCTGGGGGCGGGGCTCCGCGGGGCGGGGCTTTCCCCCTTAGCCACTGCGCGCAGTCTGTCAAATGGCTACATCCACGTTCAGAAACCAGCTGCCTTCATTCATTCAATCATTCATTCACTCTTTAAGGAGTTTCTACTCTGAACGTTAGCACCTACTATAAGCCTGGCCCTTGCCCGTACGACGGGGGAGAGGGGTTGATGGCTTCTCTCTCCCCCTCCATCAGCTCCCACCTCCCATTCTTTAATAAAAGCAAAAGAAGCTGTGGGCTCTGCAAACTCAGACTCCCCACGATCTGTCTCATTAGATTCCCTGCTTCTGTCGCTGATGTCCTTAAAATAGCATGAGAATTCTGGTTAGTGATTATGAGCGCCAACTCAGAGATGAGAAAACAAAGCTTAGAGAGGTGAAGCGATTCGCCTGAGGTCACACAGCAAGTAGGGCGCAGCACTGTGTTGAAATCCGGACTGCCTGACTCCAAAGTCTCCGCTCGTCTGCTAAACCACCCAAGCTGAGAGCCCTGGCTGCGGCTCCTAATATAGAAGACCTCAACACAGCAAGCCGCTGGGGTGGAGGGCTGCGGTAGGCTTCATGGAGGAGGTGAGCAAAGCCAAATCTGGGGGGGGGGGGGGGGGGTGACTAGGCAGAGGCGGTGAAAGCAAGAGAAAGCATTCCAGGTAGAGGAACAGCATATGCAAAGGCCCATAGAGGTGAAAGCGCATGGCAAGTTTCAGGAACGGATGGTGAGGCTGAGGTGAAAGGACATGGCAAGTTTCAGGAATGGATGGTGAGGCTGCAGCAGTGTGCGCGGCCCATGGTACATAGCCCCAAAGGGCAGGTAGGGCACAGGACTATGGGCAATGGGAAGCCAAGGCAGGTCTTCTGTTGAGGGAGGGTACCCCGCTCTGGCAGTCAGTTTGTTCAAGAGAATGAGAGCTGAGGCTACACACACGCTTGGCTATTAAGAAAACTTTAGCTCTGAGTTGAGCTATGACCTACCTTGTGTCAAAGAGCAAAACTGTAGCGGAGCTGGGGCTGAGACCCAAGTCCTGAGCCTCCTAGTGCATGCCTCCCCAGACTGCTCTCAGGGCATGGGACAGCCCCTTTAATACTGGGCGCTCCAATACTCCTCGGGTTCAGTTAGTCTAAAAAACAGCCTCAAGTACAGCTGTGAGGGGAGACACCAAATAGCAGTGGGCCCTGTGAGGAGGGGGTTCAAACTCTCAGCATGACAGCCACAACCACCTGCCCACACCCCACCTGCAGCAGCCTGGAGACTGCTGTCTATATGCTAGGAAGTGCTCAGGAGACACACAAAGGGCTGGAAGAATACAAAGCTACTCAGATACACCAGCCCCCAAAAGGGCCCTTTAACAAGGGCAGTTCAACACCACCATCACCCTCGGACAGACATCAGGCCTCCTGCTCCCCAGGTCCTACCCACTGGCCTGAGGCTGGTTTCCCTCCAAAGGTTCCTTGATCACATCACCACCTAGGGCAGAGGCCAATGTCTGCCCAAGTTCAGTAGTGAGAGGCCAGAGGTCTTGGACCAAGGACCAATGTGCCATCCTGGATGTGCATTGGAAACACCTACATGCCAAAAATACAATTCTGAGGCTTCATTAAAGACCTGTGGAAGTCACTCTCCAGAGGTGGGGCTTAAGAACCAGTGACAGATTGTATTTTCCAAAGACAGCCACCTCAAAAGATCCCTTCCCACATAATCTTCTGGCAGGCATCCTGGGGTTCACATTCCTCCCACCCAGTGGGGGTGGGGGGGTGGTCTAGACCCCTCCCCTAGAAACTGGGCAGACCTTTGTGACTGCCTCAGTCAAAAGAGAGAGAGGAAATGACACTATGTGATTTCTGAGGCCAGGTCATACAAATTCCATCTACCTCTGCCCTGTTCTTTTGAGGTATAGTATTCATGCTAGGAATCCAGCTACCATGTTGTGAGGAAGCCCAAGCAGCCATGTGGCCAGAAATGGCCACATGAAGCTGTTGTGACTGATGGCTCCCAGCCAATTGCCAGCCTCAACTCCCAGACATATGAGAGTGCAAGAATTCAAATGATCCCAGCCTTTAGTCTTTGAGACACCCTGGCTGACACTAAGAAACAGAAACAAGCTGTCTCCATCATGAGAAATTGCAGATTTATAAGCAAAGTAAGTTGTTGCTCTCTTAAACCACTAAGTTCTGGGGTGATTTGTTGTGCAATAAATAATAGGAACAGGAGCCATATTTTTAAATTACCACCAAGATTGTATTACACAACCAGAATATGGAACCACTGCCCTGAGAGAGGTGGTGTCTGGGTCAAGACCTAGAGCATCACAGGATGAAGTTAGGGCAAAGGTGTGCCACCCACTACTCAGGTGTGAGAGAGTGGTGTGTCTACAACCCCACCTCAGTGAAGATGGCTTCAGGGCTGGCAGATCAGAAGCAAAGGAAAGGGGGCTTCTGTTTCAATTATCTGTTAATGAGTAAAAACCATCCCCAAACTTAATGGCATCAAACAACAAACACTTGTTATTTCTCACCACTCCATGTATCAGCTGGGTAGTTCTCTGCTGGCCTCGCCTGGGCTCACTCCCTGTGCTGTGCTCAGCTGGAGGACCAACATGGCTGAAAGGTGCCAGAAGGCCTCACTTGCATGTCTGGAAGTTGCTGCTGGCTCTCCGCGGGCCCGCTGGTTCCCCTCCATGGGCTCCTCCACCCCCAATGGTACACCAGCTTCCTTCTAGGTGGCACCTCATCTCCCCGTAGCCTGGCCTGGCTTCCTCAGATGGCATTCTCAGAGAAGGGATCCCAGAGGGCACGGAAGAAGCTGCAAGGCCTCTTGGGACCTAGGCGTGGAACCAGCACCATGTCACTCTGCTACATGCCATTAACCAAAGGAAGTCATGAGGCTGGCCCCACTTCAAGGGGATGAAGACATGGACTGTACCTCTGGTAAGCAGAGGGGCAAACATCCAGGGGTGGGAGGTGTTCAAGGTCACTGAACAATCCATCCCTGCTTCCTTACTCCACTGGGTGGGGGGTTCCCAAGCTCCCACAGGTTATGTTGAGGCCTTCCTGAAGTTATCCCAAGACTCTGGCAGCTGGAAGCATATTGGGAATCAGCTACATCCATCTTCTTCTTGCCCCTTCCCCATTTTTAACAGCTTTATTGAAGTATTTTTTATTTCACAAAGTCCATCCATTTCAAGCATAGAATTCAATGATTTTCAGTAATTTTCAGTAACCAAGTGGTGTGATCATCAGCATAAATTCATTTTAGAACATTTTCATCCCCCTAATAAGACTTCATGCACATTTAAAATTAATCTCTGTTCCAACTCCCAGTCCTAAGCAACCAATATCTACTTTATCTCTAAAAATTTGCCTTTTCTAGACATTTCCTATAAATTGAGTCAGACACTATGTGTTCTGGCTTTGTGATTGGTTTCTTTCACCTACCGTTATGTTTCTGAGGTTTATTTATGTTGAGGCATGTGTCAGTATTTCATTCCTTTTCATGACTGAATAATATTCTATTGTATGGACAGACCACAGTTTGCCTATCCATTCATCAGTTAATGGGCATTTGGCTTGGGCATTTAGACATTTATGAACAATGTTGCAATGAACATTCCCATACAAGTCTTTGTGTGGACGTGTTTTCATCTCTCTTGGGTCGGTATCTAGGAGTGGAATAGTTGGGTCGTATGGTCGTTTTGTGATTAACTTCTTGAGAAACTGCCAAACTATCTTCCATAGGGGCTGCAGCATTTTATGTTCCCATAATAACATGAAGTTTCCTGTTTCTCCAAATTCTTGACAAGATTTGTTGCCTGTTTTATTCATTACAGCTATTCTCATGGGTATGATATAGTATTTCATTGTAGTTTTCATGTGCATTTCCCTAACAATTAAGAATACTGAGATTGTTTTATGTGCATGTTGGCCATTTATACAACTTCTTTGGCAAAATATCTGTTTGTATCTTTCACTCACTTTTGATTGGATTGTTTGTCTTCTTGTTACTTGTTACTTATTCTTACAAGTCAGAACACACTTGTAAGAGTTCATTGTAAATTCTGAATATAAGTTCTTTACTGGGCATATGTTTTACAAATATTTCCTTCTAGTCTCTTGTTCATCTTATTTTCTTAATAGTATCTTTTGAAGTGTAAATGTTTTGAACTTTGATGAAAGTCCAATTCATCATTTTTTTCTTTTTTGGACCATGCATTTGGTGTTGTATCTAAGAAATCTTTGCCTAACAACGGGCCTATTTTTAATAGAAGTAAAGCTTGGTGTCTGAACACTAAAGCAAATCCACTAACCAAGACTCCTAAAAACCCAAAAGCTTTATGACACTGAAAATAATGGCCCAACGACATTCCCAGACAATTCTGGGCTCTGGATAGAATAACACAAGTTTCCAAAAAACAGTGTGACAATATCGCGAGTTTATAAAATATGTATATTCCTTGGCCCGGTAATAAATCACTCAAGATATGGCACAAACTGTTCACAGTATTGTTTTTGTGGAGAAAAGCTGAAAATCACCTCTGTGGGCATCTGTGGGGGATGACAAAGCACCTTATAGTTCATTCTGAGGGAGCACAGAGCAGCCTCTGGAGCAGTGTCTGCAAAGAAACCACAGTCAAGCTGTTTACAAAGCTCAGTTCCTGTGCAAAGAAAGAGCCCAACGGCGCCCTTTCCACTGTGCTTTTCATGTCAAGTTGAATGAGCTACAATTTGCACACTGTGAAATTCAGATGTACACAGTCATGCAACCACTATACCATGAAGACAGAGTATTTCAATCACTCCAAAAAGTTCTTTCATGCCCAAATACATAGAAAAGTTTGGAAATAAATACATCAGAAATACACAGTGGTCCCCTCTTGGTGGCAGAATAGTGGATGATTTTTGCTTTTTAGCATTTTCCTGGACCTTTAAAAGACACTTTAAACAATATACTATTTGAAATGGCTCAAACAATACTGAACTGACTTCAGAAAATCATTTCTTTGCCACAGCCCTGACTCTACCCTACACAGACACATGCCCATCCCCCCAGCTCATACAAAAGAGCGCAAGGAGACCTCTGAGTTTGCTCACTTTGAACCTTAAACAAAAACCTTGTGGATGCAACCAGAATTATTTCAGAGGTGCCTGGTAACACCACGGGGCAGACAGACAGGCCTGACAGAAAACCATTATCAACCCTTACTTCCCTGAGCTGTAGGGGAGCAGAGGCCGGCAAAGGCTCCCAGCAAGACATTTAAAAGCTTTCTTTTCAATATTGACTGGCCCAGGAAAGCTACTGTTCAAAGGATTCCTTTACCAGCTGCAGGGATGTGGGGGGCGGGGAGGGTGTTGCACTCTTGCCAGGGCTACCAGCCCTCAGCACTGACATGAAATAAAATCAGGTTCTTTTTTGTTGTTGTTGTTGTTGTTTTGAGACGGAGTCTCGCTTTGTCACCCAGGCTGGAGTGCAATGGCAGGATCTCAGTTAACTGCAACCTCTGCCTCCCGGGTTCAAATGATTCTCCTGCCTCAGCCTCCCAAGTAGCTGGGATTACAGGCGCCTGCCACCGTGCCCAGCTAATTTTTTGTATTTTTAGTAGAGAAGGGGTTTCACTATGTTGACCAGGCTGTTCTCGAACACTTGACCTCAGGCAGTCCACCCGCTTCGGCCTCCCAAAGTGCTGGGATTACAGGCGTGAGCCACCGCACCCGGCCAAGAAAAAGAAACACATGAGAACATCTTATCAAAAGGTAAATGCTGCAGTGTTTCCTATCTGCAGAGAAAACCACTGAATCCACTTATGAATCCCTCCCTCTTCTTCTGTGCACTCACATACACATGTCCCAGCAGAAAATAGTATTGTTTTTTGTGTTTTTGTTCTTGTTATGCAAGCATCAGTGTTGTGCATAATCAGCTTGTGCCTTGCTGTGTCTGCTCACACTCATTTTGCTGAGTCCTAGCTGATCTGATGGACACCGTGTTGTCTCCAGTTTCTCACTGTAATAAACAATGATGCAGTGAACATCCTGTGCACAGTGGCTTTCTAAAGTAGAAGCCAAGAAGTGGATGTGATGTAAAAACTTTGTCAAATTGCCATTACTTTTATAATTAAAAACAAACCTAAAACAGTATGTCCAAAATGCTTGGGGAGAAGCCTTTAACTCCTTCCCAGCAGAGATGTACTCTGGGCAAAGCCTTCCAGAACAAGTACGAATTTGCCAAATGGACAAAGTGCTGATTCTGGGATACTGTGGCAGAGGAGACAGAATGCTATCGCTTTTCAAAAGGCAAGATTTTACATTTAAACTGACAGAGTTATCCACAAGGCAAGATTCCGTCTCTGTTATAGCTAGGAACAGCTGAAGAGTCTGCCTCTTGCTCCAACGTAGCTGGATACCGTGGCTGGATAACCGTTCCTGGTGCAGGTAACAGGTGAACAATATCACAATATCACTGCACGCCTCTCGTGAAAAAGAAAGCGAACACAGTCCAGTACTCACCAGAGAAGCAGGTTTTTCTTCATCTTCCAGAAATGTGTTCTAAAACATCAGCCAATCATCAACCTGTTAACCTAACCCCAGCTCAGAGATGGAACTCGAATCCCATTGCCAAGTCAGCACCCTCAGACACAAAGGTGGCAGGGCCGGGAGACACCACTTTCCCGAGAATCCTATCCCCACCCCCAACAGGGATCTGGACAGAGCAGTTAGCACAGATCAGCTTCTGACCAGCGGGGTGCCCCTAACCTAGACACCTTGCCTCTCCAAGCCTGTTTCCCTCTCTTTCCCAGTTACTACTTGGGACTTTTTGCAAGGTCTATGGTGGCACAAGAAGTGTTCGGAAACCTGGTAGCTGAATTTAAGCAGAGGGGAGGCTTTTCCGCACGTACAGCTACAGGGCGGCGAGAGCAGGCTTGCCAGGCAACCCTCGAAAGGCCTTCCGGGAAGAGGGGGAAGAGTGACGCTTGGGTGTGGGGGCACATACCCAGCAACCGGACGAGGCCGCCACCCCCAAGGCCCTCCTGGGCTTCGGATCCCGCGCCAACCCCTCGCCCAGGTCTCGGGGCGAACTCTCCGCGCCAGGCGGGTGGGGCGAAGGGAGGAGGGAGTTGAGAGTGGACGGCCGGGAGGGGGAGGAAAAGCGCAGAAGCCAGGAACGTCCCGGGAGTGAGGAGAGGAGAGCGCGGGAGTCAACGCGGAGAAGCCAGACTCGGACGCCGACTGGGCACTGGTGGCGCTGCGGGGGTCCCGGGGGGCTCCTGGACCTCCTACCCCAGGCCCCTCCAAAGCAACTGGGGTAAACCAGACACCCTGTGAGGCCAGCGCAGCTGCTGGACACGGTCCCCGGCGCCGCTCCAACCAGATCGCGACCGCTAAGCCCCTCCTTTCAAGAAACTCTGGGGCCGCCCCTGGAAGTGGCGGGGCGAAGGGACCGGAGGAGGGACCGGAGGAGCGAGGCGCGCGGCGCAGCGATGGAGCCGGACAGCGCGGGCGCGGAGGCCGGCATGGAGGGCGCGGGAGGTGACCCGTACCGGCGACCTGCGCGGCGCACGCAGTGGCTGCTGAGCGCCCTGGCGCACCACTATGGGCTGGACCGCGGCGTGGAGAACGAGATCGTGGTGCTGGCCACCGGCCTGGACCAGTACCTGCAGGAGGTCTTCCACCACCTGGACTGCCGCGGCGCCGGCCGCCTGCCCCGCGCCGACTTCCGCGCCCTCTGCGCTGTGCTGGGGCTGCGCGCGGAGGGGGCCACTGCGGCCGGGGAGGCAGCCGTAGACGTGAACTCCAGAGCTGTGACCACCGGGGACGCGGCCGCTGAGTTGGCCACGGACAGGGACTCAGATACCGACGAAGAGGCGCGCCTGGCTCTGCGCGCCGAGCCGCCGGAGCTCACCTTCCGCCAGTTCCACGCGCGCCTCTGCGGCTACTTCGGCACCCTTGCGGGGCCCCGGCTGCCCCGCGGCGCTCTCAGCGAGCACATCGAGACGCAGATCCGCCTGCGCCGTCCGCGCCGCCGCCGCCGCCCGCCCTGCGCGCCTGGCCCCGACAGCGGTCCTGACTGCGAGCGCGTTGCGCGGCTGGAGGAGGAGAATAGCAGCTTGCGCGAGTTGGTGGAGGACCTGCGCGCTGCGCTGCAGAGCAGTGATGCGCGCTGCCTAGCACTGCAGGTGCGCGCTGGCCGCGGAGGGAGGGTGGTAACGCCTGGGAGAGGGCTCAAACTAAAAGCTGGCTGGCTGCGGAGCCCGACGGGACAGAGGCAGAGGAAGGGTAGACAGAGGGCAACCCTACACCATCCCACCCCGCCTCAGCCCACTTGCGTCCTGTCCCTGTTCCTCCCCATTCCACTCCAGTCCCCAACCCTGTTATTACCATCTGTTCCACTCCTGAAAACCCCAGTCACATTCAGACAACCATACCCCACTTTTCTGCTCCACCCCCGCATCATCGCATCTTGCCCCTTCTAACCCAGGAATTGCACCTGTCTGGGTAGTCTCACACATTCCCTTTCAACAAGCATCTTTCTCTCTCCCTCCTGCCAGGCTTCTGGGAGGTTTAGGAGACAGAAGTGTGAAGAAGGCCCTGACCTCACCTTTAAGGATCTCCCTGCCTCCTGGAGTAGACTGACAGCTCCTTCTGTCAATCAGCAAAGACTTACGGGGCTCCCTGCGGGAGAAACAGAGACAAGTGAGAAATAGACAGGGTGGCTCACACTATGGATCAGGCACTCACTGGCCACCAAATGCCTGTGGGAACCAGACCCGCTCTGGGCTATTGAGAAGAAACCATGGGGTGAGATGGGGACCCAGCCTTAGCATCTGGGAGCCGTTGACAAACACTTAAGCACTGTGCCAGCCGTGCGCCAAGGGCAGTGCTGGGCCGCAGGGGTCAGAGGAGGAAAGGAACAGCCCCTACCCCAGGCGACAACAGGCCAGGAAGAAAATGACGTTATATGACCCCGCTTTAGCTCAGGACACTGCAGAGTGCAGGGAAGTGGCAAGGTGTGGTTTTCAGTGTTGGTGTACATGGAAGCCAGGGTGGAGGCGGGAAAGTACTCCTCTGATGTGGAATCCCAAGTAATGTACGGGGAGCCATGGGATGCGCCTGAAAGGTCTTCCGGCATCGCTCATGCTCAGGTATTTATTGAGCACCTACTATGTGCCAGGTTTGTTTTAGGCTCTGGGAACACACCAGTAAAGACAGACAGAAACCGCCCTCAAGGAGCCTCTAGTGAGCAGGCACGGGGAGGGCTGCAAGTGCCACTGGGGGGAGTCTAGGAGATGAGGAACTGCCACCCGGCAGGCTGAACGCCGCCAACACAGGAGTAGACCGAGACGAGGTGCGAGGTTGAAGAATCATTGGTACCACAGAGGGAACAGAATACTGGCGTCGTGTCTCAGTTTCCTTCATCAGTAAAAAAACGCTGGAGGGTTGGGGGGGCGGGCGAGGAGGTATCATTAGAGCTCCTGCCTCCCTAGGGATGTGGCGAGGGTTAAAGGAGCTCGGACGCACGGGACCTAAGGGCCTGGCACCTGGAAGCAGGCGGCGCCATAAACGTGCTCACGTGCTTCTGGGTGCGGAGGAATGGGGACCGCCGTCGTGGCGGGCGTTCGTCTGGTGCATGTGGCTGGGGCACTTACCCCCTGCCCCTGCTGCCCTGTCCCCGCAGGTCGGGCTCTGGAAGAGCCAGGCGAGCACCCACGAGATGGAGCGCGGCGGACCGGAGGCTGCGGTGCGGGAACTGCGGCAGGCACAAGGCGCGCTGGCTGCGGCGGAGGCCCGCGCTGGGCGGCTGCGCCGTGGCCAGGCCGAGGTGCGGCGGCGTGCGGAGGAGGCCCGGCAGGTGGTGCTGCGCAGCCTGCACCGCGTGCGAGAGCTGGAGGCGCTGGCGCGACAGGTGCCCGGCTTGCAGCGCTGGGTGCGGCGGCTGGAGACGGAGCTGCAACGCTACAGGTGAGCAGGGGCGCGGGCCCTGGGCCCAAGTGCCCCAATTCGGCTCCCATTTTCCCAGACTTCGGGTGTGCAAACGCCCTCCCACACGCTCTCGTGTTCTCCAGTTTCTCCATGCATTTATTCACGTGTTCTTTCATTCCTTTGTCAGTTCTCCATTTCTTAAGTCATAAGTCTATTCCATTGCTTGCTCTGCATCCATCTGCCCAGCCATCCATTCATCCATCCATTTATCCATCCACTCACCCACCCCACCCACCTATCCATCCACTCACTCGTCCATCCACTCACCCATTCATCCATCCACCCATCCACTCACCGACCCATCATCTATCCACCTACCCATCATCCATCTATTCATCCATCCATCCACTCACCCACCCATCCATCCACTCACCCACCCACCCATCCCCCCACCCACCCATCATCCATCCATCCCCCCACCCACCCACGCATCCATCATCCATCCTTCCACCCACCCACCCACCCAGCCAGCCGTCCATCCATCCTCCTGTTCACCCACAAACACCCTCTATTTGTTTATCATAGATTGCAGTTGAATGTGCTTATTCTTATTTGTTCCTGGATTCGATCATAATGATAATAGCTTACAGTTACTAAGCACTTGCTGTGTGCCAGGCCTTGAGCTAAGTACTTTATGTGGCTTAACTCATTTAAGCCTCACAGCTGCCCTGTGAGGTGGGTACTGCTGTGTTTCCACTCTGTAGATGAGGAAACAGGTGTATAATGACTGCCTGTGCTAGCTCCACCAGGGCAGGAAGCTGGACTTGGGACCCAGATTCAAATCTTGGCAGGACTTTTGGCAAATGTGTGAGTGTGGGCAAGTCACCACTCCTCGAAGACCCTGCTTCCTCTTGGGTAGAACACAGATTGGGGTCCCTGCCTGCGGGAGTGGCTGTGAAGAGGCCATGGGCTCCTGCCTGGCACATGGTAGATGCTTGGTAGACAGAGCCTCTCTCCCTTTCAAATCACAAGGCACCCCTGCCTGCCAGCTGGCCTGACTACACATTTGCTGAGCATTTTCTCTGTGCCAGGGGCCATCCCAGGCATCAGGGATGTGACCATGTGACTAGGACAGACTGAATTCCCTGCCCTGAGCAGCCACCTGTGAGCAGATAAGACCTTCACAGGAACAGATGTGTGGCAGCAGGCAGGATGTGGAGGACACTCATCAGCCTGCCCCCAAAGAAGTGACACTTGAGGGTAGGATGTTACTGGGCCAGATGGAAAGAGGAGAGGAGAGAACATTCTAGAAAATGGGAACAGTACGGGCAAAGCCCTAGGGCAGAAGGAGCCTTAGCACCATTCAAAAACTAAAAGGAAGCCAGAGTGGCTGGAGGGGTAGAGCTGGAGGTAGGCCCATTTAGGGCCTGGAAGGTGGCAGCAAGGACTTCAGTTTTTCCCTTAAGAGAAAGAACATGAAACCATGGGAAAGTTTTAAGCAAGGAGGTGACAGAAGCAGATTTACATTTCAATAAAAAGTTACCCTGGCTACAGTGTGACAAAGAGATGGGCAGACAGGGAGAGCAGAAGACAGTGCGGAGCCCAGTGAGGGGCTCCTGCCATCCTGGTCCTGAGAGGAAGGTGGTCTGGCCCAGGCTGGGGGTGGGGCAGGCAGAAGGGATGGCCTTGAACCTACTGGACATCTGAGGAGCTCACAGCTGGGAGATGGGAAGGCATGGGGCTAGAGGGAGGCCTCCAAAGAGGCAGACTCTGGGCCAGCCTCCTGCAGCGTGCAGTGTTTGGAGAGCCACTTCCTGTTTGCATAGCTGATGGCTAAAGAGCAGGGCTGGTTGGCTTGAGGCCCACATCCAGCCTTGGAACTTTATCCAAGAGGAGAAATAAAGGGGCTCTTCTTTGTTTATTTCTAAAGTCACAACTAGTCCTCTACAGCAGAATGCTACAAGTGACTACAAACATTGGCATAGCCCTTTACAATAGAAAAAGTGGATTCATAGCCAATGCACCATTTAGTCCCCATAAGATTGTTCAAGGTAGGTATTTTATCCCCAGTTTACACATTGTGAGAAATGAGGCACTGAGAAGTTAAGTAACATACCCAAGGCCACACAGCCACAAAGCAGAAAAGTCAAAGCACTTTTCCCCCACTGCCTGTGTGCTTTGATTCACAGTTACACAATGGCTGCTGTGCCTCCAGACCTTCTATCTGCTGATTGGGCATAAGAAGAAACCTGGAAGGGCTGGTCCTGTTAGTCAGTCTCAAACAAAACTGGGGTTCTATTTTTTGTTCGTTTGTTTTTTGAGACAGAGTCTTGCTCTGTCACCCAGGCTTTTTCGCAATGGCGCAATCTTGGCTCACTGCTATCTCTTCCTCCCAGGTTCAAAAGATTCTCCTGCCTCAGCCTCACCATAGCTGGGATTACAGACGTATGCAACCACGCCTGGGTAATTTTTGTATTTTTAGTAGAGACGGGGTTTCACCATGTTGGCCAGGCTGGTCTCAAACTCCTGACCTCAGGTGATCTACCCGCCTCGGCCTCCCAAAGTGCTGGGATTATAGGTGTGAGCCACTGCACCCAGCCAAAAGTGGATTCTGTTAGTAAGGAAGAAGGAGGAGCAGCTATTGCAGAGGCTTTGAAGGAAACACCTAGTGATGAGGATATTGAGGACCAGAGAGCGAGTAACACTATGTGAAGGGCACACAGTGATTAGGCAGATGACTGTGTCACTCATTTCTCTGCCCCTCTAGAAATATGCTTTCAACCCTACCTTGCCCAGGAGGTTGACCACCTCTGCCCATTTTCTACGGTCAGAGTTTGCTGGTTTATGGACTGACCTGCCCCAAAGCTCTCACTCTGAGAAGAAGGGAAAGGAGAGGAGACAGAATAGCCATGGGCATTTATTGAGCATCAGCTGCATACCAGGCACTTTTTCATGTGAGCTCATGGGGCCTCTGAACTAGTCTAAAAGAAAAGTGTTATTGTCAGCATTTCACAGACGAGAAAACCAAGACCAGGGAGGAAGCAGCTGTCCAGTGTGGCGCAGCAACTTAGTGGCAAGGGCAGGACTCACAGCCCAGCCTGATGGCCCCAAGCCACAAGCTCGAGTTGGGTTTGGTAATATGCACAAGTCCCCCTGGATTCTCCTACCCCGGAAACATCGGCCAGACATTTTACTGGCTGGGGAGGGACTGTGGGCTACAATTCACCTCTACTTTTGCTTTTCTCTTTCTTTCTTTTCCCTTCCCTTCCCTTCCCTTCCCTTCCCTTCCCTTCCCTTCCCTTCCCTCCCCTCCCCTCCTCCTTCCCCTTCCCCTTCCCTTCCCTTCCCTTCCTTCCCTTCCCTTCCTCTCCTCCTCCTCCCCTCCTCCCCTCCCCTCCCCTCCCCTCCCCTCCCCTCCCCTCCCCTCCCCTTCCCTCCCCTCCCCTCCCCTCCCTTCCCTTCCTTTCTTTTTTGAGCTGGAGTCTCGCCTGTCACCCAGGCTGGAGTGCAGTGGCACAATCTCAGCTCATTGTAACCTCCGCCTCCCAGGTTCAAGCCATTCTTTTGCCTCTGGCTAATTTTTGTATTTTTAATAGAAATGGGGTTTCACCATGTTGACCAGGCTGGTCTTGAACTGCTGACCTTGTGATTCGCCCACCTCGGCCCCCCAAAGTGCTGGGATTACAGGTGTGAGCCAGCGCACCCAGCCTGCTTTTGCTTTTCAAGTGCCAGAAACTCAGATGTCCCTGACTATTGCGCTGAATCAACCCCCTCCTCTGCAGCTGGCCTAGGGGGCTGCAGTCTAGAGGAATTACAGGGAGGAAAGGGCCCCATGCCCCAAACAGCAGAGCCCCATCACACCCTCTTAAGTGACATCACTCTGGAATGTCTCCAGGTGCTCTGCAGATGTGTCTTTGGGGGGAAAACAGAGCAATGACTGAACTCCCCCTGAGAATGACAGCTTGAAGCCATTTGGTTAGAATAAATGACCCAACTCACACTTTTCCAGCATCTCCCAGTGTTCAAAGCACTTTCACAGATACCGACTCACTCTGATCTTCTCATCTTCCCTCTGAGGTTGGTATTATGTCATATGTTTCAAATGAGGAAATAGACCCTTGGAGTTGGGAGTGGGTTTACTAAAGTCACATACCAGAACTCAGATGAATTCAGACTGCGTTGAGTTTCCTAACTTTGAGTCAAACTCTGCCACTTTCCTAAAATGGGATCTCGATGACTCTATTGTTCATGTTAGGGCTTCTATTGAGTTCTTTTTCAGACCTGTACTTTTTTTTTCATCCTTATCAGTCCTTGTGTTGTGGGCTCCGTCTAATCCTTTATCTCTGTAGCATTCAACCATATTAATTTTACAGTCTCTTTTGGATTGCTGTAATATCTGAGCTTCCTGAGATGTTTTACACCTGTTGTCTTTGTCATGATGAGGCATTCTTGGCAGGCACTGTCATTTTGGGCTGTGAGCCCGTCTTTGGCAGGGCCATGATCCTCGAGAGTCACACATAGAACCAGTTGTAGAGTTCCCTTCAGAGCAGTTCTCCATTTGCCTCCACTAGGCCCTGATTCTAGACCAGTTTTTAATTGTGATTCTTAGCTTGGAGTTGCCTAGCTACACAGGTAGTGAGAGATTGAGTCCCATACCTGGGAACAAAACCCCAAGGCCAATAAGTGGAATACTTTTCATCTTTGTTTATGGATAAGACAGCCCTTGCTGGCCCCTGGCCTCATGCAGGGAGTCTCCTTCTGTAACTCACTACGCAAGGTCTCCTGTCCCTGATCCCTCCATGGGCATTTCAGCTCCATCTCCTGCTTTCCACACAAGCTGGAGATCTCCTCTTCTTGATTTTGACTTTGGCTCTATACCCTTTTAAATAGTTCTATTTTATCCAGCATTTCAGCATATTCGTAGATGGAAGAGGGGCTTCCCATAGCACCTCAATCCACCATCTTGATCAGCAGCCTAAGAGGATGGACAGTAAATATGTAAGCAATTGGAGATATTTATTTAATTCATTCAACAGCAT